CCTGGAGTCCCGCAAACAAATGGGCGCGCTGAAGCATGTGTGGGTTTATTCAAACGTGGTGTGAGGTCGCTCTTAAAGGAGGCGCGACTCGGGCCGGCGTACTGGGCACTGGCTGCTCGCCATTGGTCAATGTTACGGTGGCAGAAAGCTGAAAGGGAGTTGGGTTTGAAACCGAAAGCATTGCTTCCCTTTGGTGCTCAGATTCAAGTCAAACGTCGTCCGTGGGAGTTGCTGGGTCCGGATGGAACCAAGAAAGGTCGGCAATGGGTCGATCGTACGCAGCCCGCGCTTCTTTTGGGTCCATGCGATGACCTACCTGGTGGTTATTGGGTGGAAGCTCAAGGGACTGCCAAAGATCCGGATGAACTGGTGTTATTTCCCTGCACTACGCTTTTTTCCAATATAAAGGAACCACCTGCATTGGAGCTGGAAGGGGTGGTGGAAGAACAGGAGCCTTCTCCTCCAGAGCATCGTCTCAAGGGGAAAAAACCGGCGCTTCGGTTCGCTGATGAGGAAGGTCCTCCTTTACCTCCGCCTCGCGATCCTCCGGCTCGCCATCGGTTAAAGGACAAAAGCCCGGCCTCTTCACTGCGTGGTCATGTGGGCTCCTTGCGCTTGCTTCGCAAGCGGGGGGAGAGTCCGCCCTTAGAAATTTTCGAGGATGACATGCAGGGCTTGGGGGAGCTGGAAGAAAATGCAGATGTTGAGGACAATGTTCCTGGTGATGAGTATTGGCCGACATGCTGTTCTCCTCATGAAGATGCTTATTTGGTCTGCAAAAGTGAGACTGCCGAGGATGGAACACAGTTGGAAAAAGAAGAACAAAAAGCCAAGTCAATGTATGAGAGGTCTGTGTATGATTACGTGGACTGTGAGGAGCTTTTGGAAGGGATTGTATACCCAAAGAAGGTGAATCGGAGAGGTGGTATCAACAATTGGTGCACAAGTACGCGAGCTCTGGTGTTGGGCCACTATACTCATGGCGGAGTGTGTGGTAGTACAAAGGAGACCCATCGAAGGCCATGGCTATGTCGTTATTTGACATCATTTGTGAAGCACCACAATCCTGAAGCCAAATTTTCTGCTCTTCAGATCTCGTGCAATGCTCCGGTATCATTGCATAGGGATAGTCACAATGAAAAGCATTGCTGCAATTATGTGTGTGGCTTTGGTGACTATAAAGAGGGTCAGCTGTGGGTTGAGGATGAAAAGGTTTTGGAGGAAGGAGCTGAAGTGGTGGAGCAATCCTATGGGAAAAAAATCTTACCTGGAAAATTGGTGGATATCCACTGGAACTTCATGTCGTTCTTTCCGAGAAAACTGCATGGTCCTATGCCTTGGAAAGGGAACAGGGTATCCTTGACAGGGTACACACCTGTTTTTATGGAGCGTTTGAGCTACAAGGATAGGTGCTATCTTCTCCAATGCAAGTTTCCTCTTCCGGAACCACAAGCTGAAGAAGGTGAAAAAAGGAATGGTTAAAAATGACGCTGAGAGAAACCTCGCTGGACGACCTTGCAGAGGAAGTCGACTACGCTGTGTTTGAAGCGCATCAATGGGCTCTAGAGGAGCATTTGAGTATTCGACGCCTAATTGCTGAACAGGAATGTTGCATTTTGGACGAGTTCCATGGATCGGCAAATGAGTCGAATGATGAAAAAGGATCGGAGACCAGAGAATGGCTGGTTAAAGCAAAAAGGGCTGAGGAACAGCTCTCGAAGTTTTTGGTCAAAGCAGCTCAAGTTCAGCAAGTGGTACAAGAGAATACTGCGCTGGAGGCAGCGGAGGAGGTCGAGTTCCTGCAAACAAAAACAATCCCTACACAAGAAGCCATGCAAGAGCTGGAGAAGTGGAGGGAATCATTGTCGGACGAGGTGAAGTCTTTGGTTAAAGAGTTGGAGGTGGTGGAACCAACAACTCAAGAAAAGCTGGACAAATTGGCGGAAGAGCCTAATGCACCGGTGATTGAGTACGTTCCCAGTCTGGTGGTGTTTACCCGAAAGCAAGGGACAGGGAGGAGGCGTGCCCGTATCTGTGCATGTGGGAACTTTATTTCGTCAACGGCAGCTACAGAATATGAAGGGCCAAGGTCCCTCAGTCGTCACTCGCTGTACGCTCCAGGTTTAGATTCAACTACCTTTAGGTGTCAAGTGAGGCACGCAGCACATATGGTGTGGATCATCGCTGGCTTAGACATCTCCAAAGCTTTTCTGACGGCGCCGATGAATAGGGCGCAAAGAGAAGGGCGTCTGGTGGTGGTGCAGCCCCCAAGGGCGGCGGTGAAATTGGGTCTTTGCACAAAAGAGGAGCGGTGGATTGTGAGGAAGGCCTTGTACGGTTTGGCCGAAAGTCCTGCAGCATGGGTGGAGTGGCGAGACCAACGTCTTCAAGGCATGTCTTGGGTGTCAAAGGATGGACAAGCAATGAGCTTTCAGAGGTCCAATGCAGACCCAAGTCTGTTCCTTATTATGGCACAAGAGAAGCCGGAAGGTGCAAGCAAGTTGGTAGGGACAATGGGTCTTTACGTGGATGATTTTTTGATGGCTGGGACTATGACAGTGCTCCGGGAGGCCTTGGAACAGATCAGGAAGGAGTGGAAAACTCCTGAACCCGAGTTCTGTGGTCCAGGCTGTGGTGATGGATTCCTGAAGTTTTTGGGTGTCCAAATCTGGTACCGAAATGGCAGCTTCTTTCTCAACCAGGAGGACTTTGTGAGAGATTTGCTGAACCGAAGAGGGTATCAGATTGATGAAACTGGAAAAGGTAGTAACCTGCCAATGGTGAAAGAAACTCCAGGTGAAGAAGAGGAGGTGGATATTCCCTCCTTGCGAGCGGCTCAAGGTGCCGTAGGGGAGTTCCTCTGGGTGGCAATCAAAACTCGACCTGATTTGGCTTTCTGCACAAGCCAATTGTCTTTGTGGACATCCCGAAGGCCGCGATTTGTGGTTAAAAAGGCTGAGGAGGTATTTCGATACCTTGCTGCAACTCCAACGTTAGGCCTGACGTTTGGAGCAATCGCAACATGCGAAAAAGAAAGGAATGAGGTGTGCGTTATGGGCGAGGCGTCAAGGTGGTGGAGTCCTACGCGGATGCTAGCTTTGCAGCAGGTGAAAACGAAAAGAGCCACTCAGGAGCGGTGGTGGTTTGGGGTGATTGTCCAGTGATGTGGGCAACGCAGAGACAATCAACGGTGGCTTTGAGCACTGCTGAAGCTGAATTGCATGCATCTATAGAGGGAGCAACGATGATCCAGTCGTGTACCCCTATAATTGCCGCTTTGGTTGGAACAGGTGAAGAATCGCTGCAAAAGGTGCTGTATACAGATTCGGTTTCGACGTGTTCAATCATTCAATATCCTGCTGGTAGCTGGAGAACAAGACACCTGAGAATTCGAGCAACTGGTGTCAGGTCTCTGGTGGACCGTGGTTACATGGTGATAGCGCATCTTCGTGGTGAGTATATGATTGCTGACCTGTTGACAAAATTGATGAGTGGACAGGTTTATGCAAAGCAAAAGGCACTTTGGGGTCTCCAACTGTTAGTGCAAGGAACTGACTTGAAAAGGGCCTCTCTTGCAATGGCGGTCATGATGGTGGCTGCATCTCTGCAAGGGATGGCAACAGGTGGAGAAGAAGTGTCAGCTGCTGGTTTCTTTTGCTCAGAAGAAGGGGTGTGCCAGGTCGCCAATACATCTACGGTTATGGTTCTGGCTCAAGGTATTGAAATGGTTATCAACAATTCAGACCTTGTTGCGTATTTGGTGGCAGCAATCATAATCTGGGAATTGACATGGTGCCTCTTTCGGCGGCTGTACAAATGGCTGTGGATCAAGAAAGTGGTGGTTATTCCTGCGAGTGCCACTCTGTATACAACAGTGGGTGGGAACTGTATGCACGCGAGCAGTGATTGTGATGTTCTGCGATATTCACAGCCCAGGGCTAAGACGCTTTGCAAGCATTGCCTCAAGGGTGGTTGGGTGGTGAATGCTGAGTTCCTTGGTGAGGAACGGGCCGCTGGAACGTAAACTTTTTCAAGTTCGAGGTGAAGAAATCCTCAGTGGTAAGGGATTCGGCCAATGAGCTGAAGGGGCGTCCTGGAAGACGTAAAACCATAATGTGCATTTCAAGCAGCTGGCTGCTGCCTAAACGGTGGTTTTTGGCCAAAGATCTGCATCTCCAATGTGTCCTAGGAAATCCTAGGACAGGGGGAGTGCGGAGCTGCAACTGGTATTGTAGAAAGAAGTTAATGTTGGGTGTTGAAAGGGTCAATGTACCCGGAAATCTCTTTTGGCTCAAGACTGGGCCATGTGCCTGGTAGTAAAAGGTGAGTGCCCTGTGGTTTGGGTTTGTTGTGTGGTTGATCCAGGGAAATCAAGGGATTCTGTTGGGGTTGACTTTTCGGTTTCTCGTCCCCCTTCGGGTTCCCCCCGTACCCTAAACCCTAAACCCCATGTCGTGGCCTGGCTCCGCAGCTCGACTTGCATTGGCGTGTCCACCACGCCGGGCATCACGGAGCCCACCCGCACGCCGGAGGGCGCGAGCTCCTTTGAGGGCAGGGTTTAGGGTTTAGGGTTTAGGGTTTAGGGTTTAGGGTTTAGGGTTTAGGATTTAGGGTTTAGGGTTTAGGGTTTAGGGTTTAGGGTTTAGGGTTGAGGGTTGAGGGTTGAGGGGTTGAGGGGTTGAGGGGTTGAGGGGTTGAGGGGTTGAGGGGTTGAGGGGTTGAGGGGTTGAGGGGTTGAGGGGTTGAGGGGTTGAGGGGTTGAGGGGTTGAGGGGTTGAGGGGTGGAGGGGTTGAGGGGTTGAGGGGTTGAGGGGTTGAGGGGTTGAGGGGTTGAGGGGTTGAGGGGTTGAGGGGTTGAGGGGTTGAGGGGTTGAGGGGGTCTAGGGTTTAGAGTCCATTTAGGTTTACGGGGTCAAGGGATCTAGGTCTTAGGGACGGTTACACCCTAAGCTCTACACCCTCAACCCTAAACCCTAAACTCTCCATCCCAGGAGCAGGCCTCATCCAGGCACCGCATCACCTGCAACAGAGCGGCCTGCTGGAAGGCAGGGAAATCTGGGGTCTAGGGTTTGGGGCTTAGGTTTGGGCTCGCCCTAAATCCTAAACCCTAAATCCTAAACCCTAAACCCTAAACCCAAAACCCTAAACCCAGGTTCAGAGTGTTTAGTTTCGGCTTAGGGGTGAGGCTTTAGAAGCTTTGGGGTGTAAACGCTCTGAAACGAGAAGCTCGAACCCGGAGCCCGAAGCTCTGCATCGGACCTTCGACCCTCAGCCCCTAAAGAAGAAACCGGGGTTTAGGGTTTAGGGTTTAGGGTTTAGGGTTTAGGGTTTAGGGTTTCGGGTTTAGGGTTCAGGGTTCAGGGTTTAGGGTTTAGGGTTTATTTAGGGTTTAGGGTCTATGGTATAGGGTATAGGGTTTAGGGTTTAGGCCTGGAATACAAGAAGTGCTTGATCACGTTCGACATCTCTTAATGAATGATCTGCTTCTGGAGAACTACTTTATGTCACTTGGTAAGCACAAGGACAGAGTCATGATTGAGATGCCTGCTGACGGCAAACCAGAACAAACAAGCTAACTCTACCATGCTGCCATGATGTATTTATGATCCGTAAGCAGGTATATATTACAACTACATTGGAGTTGCAACCCTTAACACCAAACCCTGAGCCAAATTCTTAAGGGAACCCCCTTGCCTAGGTCGGCGTTTGGGTAGATTATCCTAGTGTTACCTAGGGTAAGGGCTGAATCTCAAGATAGGAACAAGGGTTCCTCAACTAAGGGCCCAGGACCCAAATCCAAACCCCACAAGGATGGACCCTAAACCCGAAGCCCTACACCCCAAAAACCCTAAACCCTAAACCCTAAACCCTAAACCCTAAACCGGGGGCCTTGCTGGTGCAGTACGTCAGACATCCCTCCAGCGGCCTGCGCTGTGCTCTGGGGGGGGGAGCAGGCGCCCAAGAGGGCCTGGAGAGGTTTGAGGGGAGTTTAGGGTTCAAGGTTTAGGGTTTGGGGTTTGGGGTTTAGGGTTTAGGGTTTGGGGTTTAGGGTTTGGGGTTTGGGGTTTGGGGTTTGGGGTTTAGGGTTTAGGGTTTAGGGCTTCAGGTTGCGATGTTTCCCCCTTATAGTAACAGTCCTTAACAGGGATGATAATAGGGGGTACTATAATCCCTATTTTAAAGACTGTTAGTATAAGGGGGAACATCCCAAGCTTCAGCGATTTAAGGTTTAGGGCTTCAGGGTTTTGGGGTTTAGGGCCGCAGGGTTTAGGGCTTCAGGGTTTTAGGGTTCAGGGCTTCAGGGCTTTAGGTTTTAGGGCTTCAGGGTTTTAGGTTTAGGGTTTAGGGTGCAGGGTGTTAGGTGGCTTAGTGTTTTCGGGGCTAGGCGTGCCGCCTTAGCTTTGCTACAGGGTGAAGGTGAGCCATCACCTCCGCAATCCGTACATCGCCCCTTACTGCTCAACCCTACACCCTCAACCCTCAACCCTGAACCCTCAACTATCAACCCTACACCCTCAACCCTACACCCTCAACCCTACACCTCCAACCCTCAACCCTCAAACCTACCCTACACCCTCAACCCAAAACCCTCAACCCTCAACCCTACACCCTACACCCTCAACCCAAAACTCTCAACCCTCAACCCTACACCCTCATCAACCCTCAACCCCTCAATGCTCAACACTCGACCCTCGACCCTCGACCCTCAAACCTGAACCCCAAGCCTGTGAAACCCCAAGCGCGCTCCTGTGCGCGGCACCGCTGCTGATGTGCAGCACCTGGACTGCTGAGCGGGTTTAGGGTTTAGGGTTTAGGGTTTAGGGTTTAGGGTTTAGGGTTTAGGGTTTAGGGTTTAGGGTTTAGGGTTTAGCATTAGGCCGAGCTTGCGGGCACCACAAAACCCTGAAACTCCCCAAGCATCCCTGTGTCCTAAACCCTAAGCCATAAACCTTAAAAAACCCTAAGCCCGAAACCCTGTCGTAGGGGATATTTGGGAGGGTTTCGGGAACCGCCCATGGCCAGGTCAAGAGTCCCTTAAACCCAATTCCCTATGCTCCCTCCCCTGAGTCCTGTAACCCCTATAACCCCTGTAACCCCTGTAAACCTCAAACCCTGAACCTTAACCCCCAAACCCTAAACCCTAAACCCTAAGCCTAAACCCTTAACCCTAAACCCTAAACCCTAATCTTATCGGGTTTATAGGGTTGAGGCCCAAAGAGAACCTGTAAGTTGTGGGGCAGGGATGGAACTCTGGGATGCAGAGTGACTCAAAAATTCTAGGACTGGGACTGGGCCGGGGGTGTAGGGTTTAGGGTTTAGGGTTTAGGGTTGAGGGTTTAGGGTTTAGGGTTGAGGATTTGGGGTTGAGGGTTTCGCGCTTAGGGTTGAGGATGTTGAGGGTTTTGGGCCTTTAGGGTTGAGGGTTTAGGATTGAGGGTTTACGGTTTAGGGTTGAGGGTTTACGGCGTAGGGCTCATTAGGGCTGAGGGTTTAGGATTTAGGGTTTAGGGTTTAGGGCTTAGGCACAAAAGACCTGGCTGGGTGTCTTGTTTTCATCGCTTTGGATCAGGCACAACTGCTTTCTGACCTGGTAAGAAGGGGACGGTGCACAACAGTGTGGGGCTCAACCCGGGCATCGCAGGAAGGTGTCCGAGACGTAGGCGTTGACGAGGTCGACCAGCGAGTACGCCGAGAAGACCGCGCTGCTCAGCAGCAGCACGGACGCAGAAGTGAGAAACGGGCCCCGGTCCGTGCCTGGAGTGGCCCTTACAACCCTCTGAAACATACTCCTGAACATGATCCTCTTAAACCCAACAAACCCTAAACCCTAAACCCTAAACCCTAAACCCTAAACCCTAAACCCTAAACCCTAAACCCTAAACCCTGAACCCTGAACCCTGAACCCTGAACCCTAATACAAAATGGTCCCCAAGCGCCTACCGAGATGCGACTGGCAGTCTGGGCGAGCCTGCGCTGGCGGCGGGCAAGCAGCAGCAAGGCGCCAGCGCAGGCGTAGCCCGCGAAGAACTCGTAGCCATCCCAGGCGTGCCTTACTGCTGGTTCGTAGGGAATGAGGGAATGAGGGAATGAGGGAATGAGGGAATGAGGGAATGAGGGAATGAGGGAATGAGGGAATGAGGGAATGAGGGAATGAGGGAATGAGGGAATGAGGGAATGAGGGAATGAGGGAATGAGGGAATGAGGGAATGAGGGAATGAGGGAATGAGGGAATGAGGGAATGAGGGAATGAGGGAATGAGGGAATGAGGGAATGAGGGAATGAGGGAATGAGGGAATGAGGGAATGAGGGAATGAGGGAATGAGGGTGTAGGGTTTAGGGTTTAGGGTTTAGGGTTTAGGGTCTAGGGTTTAGGGTTTAGGGTTCCCTACTAACCAACAGTAAGGTGCAGGCCGCAGGGAATGTGCAGCTGGAACTCCAGAAGAAATCCACAGATTCGAGCCCAGCCCGGATAAAACGTCCTTGGCTGCACTCAGGAGGGTAGCTATAAATTACACGTTTAGCTGCCTTAATAAGAAACAACCCTAAACCCTAAACCCCAAACCCTAAACCCTAAACCCTAAACCCTAAACCCTAAACCCTAAAGTAAGGATCCAAAGTTACAGTAAAGTACCACAAAGCGTCCAGAGGAACAGCGACAGGACGGTCCAGGCGTGCTCAATGTGCTTTTTGGCCCGGGCGAAGTAGACCAGGAGGCCGAAATGTAGGAAGATCATCCTACAGCTCATCTCGGTTTCTTTCTGCGAAGAATTGGGTAGGAGTACTTTGTTGAGGGGTTTCTAAGGGCTTCGGGTGTCTTTCTCCAAGGGCCTTCGCAGGTTTCCCTGAGTCGAGGCCTAAATCCTTCAACCTCTACGATTTTGACAAAGCTGGGTCGACGTTTACATGCCGCCCATCCAATGACCCTAAACCCCCAACCCCAAACCCCAAACCCCAAACCCCAAACCCTAAACCCTAAACCCTAAACCCCAAACCCTAAACCCTAAACCCTAAACCCTAAACCTCCTGAAACAGACCAGGCTTCACCGCCTCGAGGAGGTGCAGCCAGGTAACGCAGCCTCCGTACTCCAGGATCTCCAGCAAGCTGCCTTAGGGTTTAGGGTTTAGGGTTTAGGGTTTCGGGTTTGGGGTTTAGGGTTTAGGGTTTGGGGTTTAGGGTTTAGAGTTTGGGGTTTGGGGTTTAGGGTTTAGGGTTTAGGGTTTAGGGTTTAGGGTTCAGGGTTTAGGGTTTAGGGTTTGGGGTTTTTAGGGCTTAGGGTTTAGGGTTTCGGGTAAGTATCTCCAGCCAGCCGCCGCTGCCAAACGCAAGCACTCCCAGGAGGATCAGGAGGTAGCCTTAGGTGTTATCTCATGACAAACCTCATCAGGGTTTAGGGTTTGGGGTTTGGGGTTTGGGGTTTTGGGTGTGGGGTTTGTCTTAAGACGACCCCCCCCCCCAAAAAAAAATAGAGAAAATAAGGATCCTAAGGTCAAGGCGTCAGGGGTTGCTGTGTCTGCTTCGTTCTTTGTCTTTCATCATTGTCTCATATCTTTTCATTTCCTTCGTGCCTGTCTCGTTTTCATTTCTTGCTCTCTGGGGTCTAGTTTCTTGCTGTGGTCGTCTTATTCGTTTTTTCTTCGGGGTGTCTTATTCGTTTTGTTTGGGTTGGGCTCCTCGTTTGTTTTAGTGCTTGACCCTAGGGGTGTAATTTTGTTTTAAGTATTTGTTTAGTCTGTTATGTTTTCATTTTTAGGCCTAGTAGTTATTCTTAACTTTTGGTTCTTGTTGTCTTATTCGTTATTTTCGGTCTCTGGGTTAGGCTATAACAGACTTTAGTTAGGCGGTTCGTAGAAAAGCCTAACATAAAGCCTAGTCTGGGCTTAGTATGGTCTAGACATTGTTTAACTTTGGGTTATTCCTAGGGTTTATTAGTCAGTTCAACCATTTCATTATATTAGTAATAATGTTATGGTTGCTTTAGTTTGCTTCAGTGTCGGTTTCTGTTTCGTTTTGCTTTGTCAAATTCGTTTGATGCTTTTTAGTCTTATCATGCGATGATTTGTTATTTAAGTTTATAGTCTTAAAACAATAAGGACATTCTATAGTTCTAGTCCTATATTCTTTCTTCTTCTCTAGTCTTCTCTCCCTTGTTCGTTCATTATATTCTTTCTTCTTATCTTTATTATCTTGATAATATTCTTTTGCTTTCTCTCTTAATTCTTCTCGGTGGTTCTCTCTATATCTTGCTTTTTCTTCTAAACATTGGTTACATAGTTGTCTGTCAGGTCTATAGTTGTCTAGGGTTTTAGACTTTTTACATTTTGAGCATTGCCTACATTCTTGGTTCATATTCTCCATACCATATAATGGGGCGTAGTCTTTAAACCATTTTAGGGCTTTTTCTTTGAATGAACTTTCAATGAACATACCCGTATGTCGAACCCAGCATACTAGTATGCTGAAACGGCATTGCCTCGTAAGCATTATGTGCAACCCAGCATAAGCATATGCCGAACCCAGCATACCCACATGCCGAAACGGCATTGCCTCGGATGTGGCATTTTCTCACTAAAGATGCCGAAAAAGCATTAGTGTATGCTATGCCCCGCATACCATAATGCTATGCCCCCCATACCATAATGCTATGCCCCCCCATACCATAATGCTATGCCCCCCCATACCATAATGCTATGCCCCCCATACCATAATGTCTAAAACACCATCGTGAAAGCCACATCCGTTTTGATAGGATGCTGAAGCCACCATCAAGACTAACCACACATTGAAAGACACACCAACGAAAAAACATAGGGAAAACACTGACAAAAACACACAAACAAAACAACAACGACAATATCAAAAATCAAAACTCGGATAAGGTTTTAAAACATCATCCTAAGTTTCATGTTACAAACCCAAACCCACCAACCCAAAACCACCAACACAAAACCCTACCAAAAATCTACTTAAAGAAAAACGACTATATAGTATATGGTAGAACCGGATTATGGTCATATAATGGACTACCTAATAAGTAGTCGCATAGGCAACATAAAAATGCGTGGGAATAAAAACCTAAACAAGGTTATTATAGATGAAAAGGAATACACATATAATAAAGAAAAACCACTTTCAAATAGATTAAAGAAGAAACTCAGGACAGTATCCAAAACACAGGGTTTTAAACGATATGATATATTAAAGACGGCAACGAAAGGCATAGCAATTAGAAAGGCATTGAAGAAATATGTTATTAATAAAAAAGCAAGGGTCACAAATGAAACAAGTGCCTTTAAACGATATGCCAACTCATATTCTATTTCAAACATATCACCATTATTAAAGGGAACAAGAGGACTAACACATTTAAAATATCAAGAACCAAGATTAAGGGAGTTTTTAGACAAGAACAACAATATGAAAATTAGGATTGATATAGACGTCGCTTTTACACATATAGAAATGGAAGAACAAGCGGTTTTTAAAATTACAAGCAGAATTTACACGATTAACAACCCAGAAGAATTAAAGAAAGCAGTTGATAATATGGCGTCAGACATAGAAATTCTCATAGGAAACTCAGCACTCAACAAATCAGGATACAAAATAGAACACATTGAAAAAATCAGAATTCATTATGACAAATATAACCCAACAAGAGCGGGTAAGTATATTGAATTACCTAAATGGATTGCCACTAAGAAGGCATGTATTAATATTAAGAATGACGACGATTATTGTTTCAAATACTGCGTTCAATCCAGATTTTACGAGATAATG